TTGCATGGATACCCTGCACAAAGCTAAAAGTGTGAGCCCTTAAAACACAACAGCAGACTTATGAGCTTACATGAGTGACACCTATCACCCGACATGCCAGCTACATATGATTACACATCTAGATAATCGTCAGCTGTGACTACCACAGAATATATGGTGACATACCTGTCAGAGTAGTGTAGGTGCTGCTGAACCAAAGGACATATCAATCAGGAAGCTACTCCTTGAGCTGTAGCACAACCTGATTTGTACCGTAGCTTAAGGAAGATACAGTGAAGGTATACGCGAAGTGAATGGAGGATGGGAGAGGAAGAGACGTGGCAGACAAGAAGCGCTTGAACCACACCGAGGGAATGCCGATGCATGCCGAGCATCAGCGGAGTTCAAAGCTGTCCCCGGCTCAAAGGCTTGAAGCATTCGCAAAGTCAGTCGTTTCATTGGACACATCCTTCGTTCGTGGCGAGAAAAATATTTTGGATGCAACAAAGATGCAAGTAAGGTTAGTTACTGCCCTCAGGAAGCTTCCAATATTTTATTAGCAGGAAGTAGGCTCGTAGCTACGGTTGCAAGTTGGAAGAGCTCGTTTCCTCACGCTCAGGAATCTGTTAGGCGAACGGCTAGCCTGTCAGGCACAAATAGAGACTTAACGGTTAGCAAATTGAATTCGCGCCTGTACTCCTGGCTGTCCGCCGAGTAGCATCAGACCAGTCAGGCGTTTGTTCGATCATTTTGATTGTAAACCGTCAGTTACGTACACGACGGCGGTGTACAGAGAGGTTGTTGAGCCAGCTTGTATATGGAACAATCGAAAAAACTTACGATCCATAACGACACTGATTTTACATAATGCTTTATGAGGGAATAAAATAAAATAGAGCGGAGCTGTAGCACTTACAGAGGCGTACAGGAATCGGGTTGTCCAATTACCGTGGATCCAAATGAAGTTGATCTGGCGCCTGTCAGCGCGTTATGGGCGGCACCATAATTGGACTTGCCTCGTCAGCGAAGGTCAAAGCTAGGATAGCGGTGTGAGCAACTGCTTGGGGCCTGTACGGCAAAAGAGTACTCACACCAGTCATATACAACGAACGCAATCGTCGCAGCTGCAAGACACGGATCCGGCGTGAGTTCGGGCCCACAGGCCATTCCAGCAGGAACTTTTCGCCGACTCACCCCAAGCATTCGCAGTGATACGAGAATCCTGGGCGGCTGTCCAGTCATTGGAGTTCTGCATCTGCACGGCGACGTGGATTAGCGCATTCCCCGACTTCCCGTCAGCGTAGACGTTGTGCACTAGTGGTGGTTTCGCGAGGAGGACCTCCGCCATTGGCGGCTCTCGAGGTTGAACTAACGAGCCGGCGCACTTTGCCTGCGAAGTCACCGGCCGACGGTGTTGACCTGGAGTGGATCCGGGAACTGTCCAGGGAACGAGAGACGCCGCGCTTGGCAGCGTGCTGCAAACTTGCGGCGGGCGTTTCTTGGCCGGACGTCTTGCAACGCGATGCAGGCTCTTTCTTCTATCATGCGCTCTTGAGCTCCTTATATCCAGTCGCTGACACTAGCTAGATCTGTCTTGTAAGCGTAAAGCTGTCGAATGTTTGCTCATTATACCGGAGTGCCGCCGCGAACTTGAAGTGTCACAGTCGGTGGTAACGCACAAAGTGCCGGCGCTAGTGTTTGCTTACTCGATTTTGCAAGCTTGGTCTCACGTCGTGGCGCAAATAATCCTCTCGTTCCGCGAAGATGTCGCATACCACAGGGCAGACTTGCCCTCCAAGTTACTGTCTCGCATTCTCGATTGCCTCAGCCCTCGATGCACCAAAACTGCACTCCAGATGCCTCCAGCTGTCCGTGCCGGCGGAACGCACCCTCAGTGTCACTGAACAGGCCGAATGGCTATTGCGCTCTGCCTTGGAATACAAAGCAGTCTACCTGCGCACTGTCCACGAGGCTGCGCGCATAAGTGGGACATTGATGGTCGTGTAGGCGGCGAACCTCGTTACGGCCTTCCGTCTTTCGCTTCTACCGGGCGGGGCCTTGGTCGCGGCCTTCCCTTTGATGATCGTTACTTCGATGTCTTCACAGTCACGTCGCTTGCACATGAGCTGCTGTGCAGTTCATACGTACCGTCGGTCGGGGAATTCAGCCTGGTTAATGCCTCGGGCACGCAACTGCATGCCAAGCGAGTGCACACCGTTGCCTCCAAGCCTCTGCGCCGAGGCATATGCTGACCAGGATCCCAATAAACATGATGATACATGCAGTGAATCAATAAAGACAAGCAGCCGTTTACATCAGCTTCCCGTTGGAATAACCCGCGCTCAGCCCACTCGTGCCACTCTTCTTCAACTTTTTGCTTGTGGCGAAAAGCATGCTGTCGATGAGCGACGCTACCGTCAGAACTCCACCTACGACAGCACAAGTTGAGGTCAGGAAGTGTGCGAATGACTGCCGGGTCTCTCGATGGACGACGAGAATGGGAGAGATCTCGTAGTTGAAGAAGGCGCCTGAGGGGTTGCAGTAAGCGAGCGTCCACGATGGAAAAACAAGCTACGTACCTGGGATACCGGTCATACCGTGCATGACGTGCATGCCTTGCTGGCTGTTCTCGGCAATTCCCTTCGACAGGTCGCGCTCGAAGTGCGTAGCACTGTGCTGATGGGTCTTGATCTGAGCCTACGTATCAGCTTGCTGATCAAGTACAAGAGAATATAGTGGACTCACGCTCTTGCCGTCAAGAGTAATAAATTGCGTAGAGACCACCTTCAAGAAGTACTGGAACATGTACGCTTGCTTTGAGGTCTGCAGCCAAGTCAGTCGACTACCTCTCGCGGCAAGCAATCTTCCTACTTTCTGCGTAGTGCCGTCCAGAGGCCCGTCTGCAATGCCGAGGCGTCTTTTGAGTGAATTCCCGTGGTCCGCTTTCTGGAAGTTAAACTCGTCGTCGCCTGCAAATGCGAATGCGTGGACGGTATGCGAAAAGTCGTGGCGATTACCGTCCTCCTTCAGGTAAGGCACGATGTCGTAGATGTTATGAGAGCCGCTGCGGAAGGAGCGACCAGGCGATAGGTGGATGTTACCAACAACCTTGTTCACGCGAAGTTTGCCTGCAGCGTTGCAGCCCTCATTCGCCTGGTCGCGCAGCTTGTCTGCCCATCCTTCCTGAGCACACTGTAGGGCGTGTGAGTGGGATAAACCGCTTGAGGTCTATCTTACACACCTGCTCGATGGAGTCCGGAGCGGTGAAGCTCCAGCCGCGGTTGACGTATGCTTGTCGAACATCTTCGCAAGTGTTGCAGCACCCGCCGGCGGGCTCGACGCCTCCATAACACGAACCACAGTATCCGTCTTGCCGCTGCTCATTCAGCTTATCGATATCGTTCCGAAGCTCAACAATCTTGTTCGCCGGGACAGGGTTCCCTTGCTCGTTCAGGCGTGTCTTGATCACATTGTGCACAATATCGGTCTGTGTCTCACCGCTAATGTCCATAACGTCCAGGCTAAGCACTGCGAATAGATCAGCACTCCGCAGGTTTTTAAAGCCTAGCACTCACAGTAGCATGGCACGCGGGGGAACGTAACATTGAAGCTCACGATGAGCTTCTCTCCTCTGCTCTTGTCAACTTCTATAGAAGTATCCACATTTACTCTTCGGTAGTCGAAGAACTCCATGGTCGTTATAGCCAGGATGATGGCAGCGGACAGAATGGTCACTAGAGACAGGCACTTAGATATGTACTTCGCCTTCGTAGATGGAGCATCGACGACGCACGGAATGCACCAGTCCTTGTCTTCACTTTCACATCTTCCATGGTCTACATAGTGAGGGGTGAGGTGATGAAGATACATTAGTGCTCAAACAGTTGCTCACCTTACCGAAGGCATCAAGGCCTTTCAAACCTCCGAACATTCCCTTCGCCATCCCGACGAGTTCGAGCCTCCGTCACAAATAAGTAACAATTTGAGGCTGTCGAAGGGTTGCAGGAGTCCGCGCAGAGGTAGTAGTGGACAGAGTGAGAGACGGCGTGTCCGGATACTTGAAGACGCGCTCGAGAATCTGGCGACGTGTCATTTACCACATGATCTTCATCACCCTTCCCGCCCTCGCCCCTTGCCTTACACTTCCACCGTCTTTTCGCCAGGGTTTGGCCGGACAGTAATTGCAGTGTATATTCGGTCTCAGACCGCGGAAATGCTGTTGGATTGGCTTGGCCGAGCGTCACAGCCATGCAACATAAGCTCAGCGGGCGGACAGGCAGACAGTGCACCCCACATTCAGATGTTCAGAGCACAACCACGACGCCCTACATCCTCAAGTCCCCGGATACCATGTCACAGCATTTTTAATTACTTTATGCTATACATCTTCCCAGCATGAGAGGTCGCCTAGGTCATACACCGTTGGATGGCCCCCATTGACAGTATTGCTCTTTACCCTTGCCAGACAGCAGCTCAGTTCGAGCTTGTCGCAAGATCGCTACTGTGCACGGCCTGGGCACAGATTGATCCCGAACACACTCGCGACTTATGGTGCGTCCCTCTTCCCCTCGCGTATCTGCTTTGCCATTGTGTCTAAGGTGGTGTCCTAGGGACCGTGATAAGCGTTCATCGATTGCCCATCACGGAAGGCAGAAAATCGAGGAATCGCTTCTTCGGCGCACCCGATGGTTGCTTTCCGAGGGAGAATCAACGAGGTCAATCCAAGTCCGGGGCGATGCCGATCTTGAAGGCGTGCGTCCAGTTACTGGAATGTCCGACACTGGCCTGCCGGCGCTGACAGCTTCAACACGAAAATGATCGCGCTCCGAGCTTCAGCGGCGCTGAGACACCTGCGTACTGTACCTTCAGTGGCTTAGCACGCTCATTGCAAAGGAGAAGCAATGTCTAACGCCGTGCGCGCGGTTGATGATCACTTCTAGTCGATGGCGCCTTGCCAGCGCAGCATCGGCAGTGGGTCTCAGTGGGTATTGAACGCCCGTTGTTCAACATTGACACTCAGGACACTGCACCGGTTCGGAGGAACCAACACGGACATGAAACGGTGCAAGCGGCATCCGAGGCGCTATACTCACGTATGTATAGTGTCCCCGCGTCACTCGTGAGTGCATACGGAAGACCCACATATGGCAGACACAAACCCTCGGAGTGTTGCAGAAGATTCGCGCACTATATCCAATGCATGGAGTATACGTACAGCAGATTGTACAGTTCGCATAGGCTGACGAGCTGACTGACAGCTGCTACGATGACGCTCGTCGCCTACGATTATAGTGAGCCTTTCTTCGCGAGTACGGATTCCATCCACTCAGGCCGCCTCCTTCTATGCACTTAGCCCTTACTTTTGCTGACGAAGTGAGTGGTACAGAGCTGTCTAGTATGTTTCCCTCTAGAGGACTGCCGTTCAGATGTACTATATTTGGACTCGAGGAAGCAAACCAACCAAGATTTTATATACTTTTGTACGTATCACTGTGTCGAATCATTTCGCCCCAACCTCTCATCACATGTCTGGCTCAGAGTCGATACGGAACGTAAGTAAGCCCGCGTTTCACTGGTCCGCGAGTACGATGTTGAATTTGGACGTTTTAACAACAGGCTCATGAGCTTGATGTAAGGGTGCCAATCGTTACAGTTCTCGGTCAAGAAGCTTATAGCGTGGAATGCCCAGCTTGGCAGTCTCAATGTGCAGTGAGTGTTCCGATCAAGTGCCCAGCAACCTAATGCTGAACCAAACGCCTAGACCTGGGCAATGCGGAAATCGCAAGTATGGTACGTCTTTAAGCCCTGCTCAAACCTAGTGCAAATTATGAAACAGCATTTCAGCGGTGAGCACGGTGCTTATTGATGTGGTCCTAGCTTCTGATGATATTGCTGCAGTTGTCGATTCTGTTACTTCTGGATACCATACAGCGCTATGATCACTTACGGGACGGACGCCAGTACGTCGTAGTCGTAATCTCAAATCTAACTGACCCGCATGTTGACATGACGTTGACCTCCTATTCCTCAGCCGTGTTGATCCTCCGCGTGAACGCGCTATACGAATGCAATAGAAAACTTCGCATCTTTCTCTTTACAGTGCTCAGCTTCTTGATAACGTTCAGCGTAATTTTCTTCACAGTACTCGCGAAGTCGAGTCCAGGCGAGGAGAATTCTACTCCAACGTTGTCACTCCGGACTAACGACACTCTCCCAGAACCGGAAGGAAGTCAGAGCCGGTGCTTCGATGTCCACTTCTATTCATGGGAGTGGGTATATTGGTTCCCTAAGATCGGGTTAGAGGGCCTACTGCTTGCTCTCGCTCTCGCACGGACCATCAACACATGGATCCGCCCGCAGGAGAATCCGTCCGAGCTTGCCCGTCTGCTAATGCGCGACTCGATTTTCGCGTGTGCGGGCACGCTCTCGCTCGCATTGGTCAACCTCGCGCTGTGGAGTCCGCTGAATGTGAGTCTCCACGCCGTCTCTGTTGTACGAGCTTTCTCTGACCATTTTGACACCAGGAAAAGCTGTTCTTTGCGTTTCCCGGGTATGTCCAGCCCAGTTTTCACAGGATTCGTTAGTGATCTGTACCTCGCACAGTACGGCGGAAGCAGTGGAGGGGGTGGTAGCCAGTCGCTTGCTCGTGCGTTGTCTTCAACCGACCTCCTGGGACCTGCTGACAACATCGTAAACAGCTGAGCCTGCACGCCTACACCAAAAGCGAAGACAGTCGACCTTGGAAGCAAGATGGCCGGATACTTTGCATCCGTTCACCCGAGGAACTGGAACGCGTAGAGCTGGCTGCGGCAGCGTCCATCGCGGCAGTTGATGCAGAAGAGCAAGCGTAGCATTTCAATCCCATTTGTACGGATGACCACGGTCCACCCTGTCACGCTGCCCCGGGCCACTGTCCCGTTGCACCGGTGCAGGGATTTTCGTCCTGGCCGCGGTTGGTGATATATTTACATTCGAGAGTTTTTCGCTGAGAAGAGCATGCTCTACGACATGGGCGGTGTTGAGTGCAAGTATGTACATTAGAAAGGGTAGAACGCATATTACAAGCTTTAACGCAGAACTCCAAGATTCATGGGGACGATATGGTACGCATATACAAGCTAGTAAGCTAAGAGGACTTGCCAACAAGACTGAGGAACTGTATGCAAGCGATGGTCACCACTCATTGTAGTGACCCCAGCCGCTCATGTGTTCTTCGGAAATGTCGACCTTCAGGACACCCTTGCCCGTGTTCTGGCTCCATTGAACCTCGATCTCATGGATTTTCTGCGGCACGATTCCTTAGACCCCAGTCACCAGGGAGAGGTGGACAACTTACCAGCTGAACCTGCCCAAGCTTCTGGCCTTTGCCAACGAAAATACTCCTGGAGACCAATCAGCATAAGGGAACGCGACGAAAGGTACAGAGACGTGCCCAACACTCCACTGATTCCCCTTGAGCTGTTCCGGCTTCCAAGCTTCACCGAACAGGGCATGGAAGTCTGCCTGGGAAGTATACTTGCGTATCCACACCTTCGACGTCGGCTGCATGCGTAACTTCAGCCGCATATACGCGAAAGCTCATGAAGCCCACGAAGACGCACCTTGTTGGCCGATGTGGGCTGTATGAGCGTGCCGCTGCTGCCAAAGACGAGCTCGAAGTCGGGTTGCGAAAAGTGCTCTTCTACTTTAATTGTGCGATTGACGTTCTGGTACTTCTCAGCTTTGGCCGCCTTCTTGATCCTACGTGTGATAAAATCAGAGCCTGGTGATAGGTGGAGTTCATAACGCTTACTGGTCAAAGAGACTCTTTGTTCGCGTCTTGACGAGCTTAGCCTCCGCCTTTATGTCGCGCTCAGTAGGGATCACGGACGCTTTCGAGGATCCTGCAACAGCGGCGAGCGCCGTCTGCTGCACCGGAGCCGGGGTGATCTTCTGCTTTTTCGTGGCACGCAGCTCGTTTTCGAGCTGTGCATCACGGTTCAAATGTTTGCATCCTAACACGCAGCAGCGGGCGCACCTGAAGAATCCTGAGTCTCATCGCCTCTATAGCTTCCTCGGATGGCGGGTACGGTATCGGCTTCGAATAGTCGATATTGATGCCTGCGTGTTAGTTCAGCGTCGGTCGCGGGGCATGCCACGCGCTTGGACGCACCGTCGCTGTTACGGGCGCGCTTTCCAAGCATTTTGGGAGGGGGCGATGGGATGAAGGTCGCCATGGTCGCTAGAGATGATGATGTGCGCAGGATTTAGAGGCGATCAACGCGACTGCCGAGCGAGGAACCGTGACTACTGTGACTGGTCG